GGCTTTGTCACCCCCTCTGTCATCCCATCTCATGTGATTAGTGTGGCTCCACCTCCATGGGTTGAAGCCAGACAAGGCAGCCCCACGCATCATCTGCACGTAAATTTTGGAGTGTCCCAGGACTGGTGACAAGAACACCTAGTTCCAGTCACGAGTGAAGGGCTAATTCATACATGGGTCCTTTGTGGGGGTGTATCTGGAGTACACACGCATACTGAGCAGTGCTGGGCTGTGGAGCCAGTATGGCCTGAAATGCTGTCGACTTCGTTAGGGCCCAGCCCAATGAACTACATGTTAAATCATAAGCCTTTTGGGTTTGTAGTATTATCAAGCACTGTTTGTACTATATATAAGGAGGTACAAAAGTGTTGCTCAAAATTGTATTTTTAGAGTACCTGTGCTGAAACTTGCAGAAGTATGCAAGAAATTAAAATGCACTAATTCTGAATTAACTAAGTCTGTAGTAATTGCATATATGCAAATTACTCTGGGCATGTTTATTTCAAAGTCAGGTTTTTTTGGCTCTTACTGTTTCAAATTGTGAAAAGTGGAGGGGGGGAAAGCAGGAAGCTGCTGTGGGTCTGGGTCATGGGCAGAGTCAGACCCATAGCAGCCTTCTACCCCCTCTCTGCTTGCCCTCTATAGCTTCTGCCTCCCCTACTGCCTCTTTCCCCTCTTACTGTTGCAGGTAGTTCACATGTGCTTGGGGGAGGAAATAGAGCCTGAGCAGTGTCTGACCATAAGACAGTGGTGGAATAGGCAGAGACCATGGGGGCAGGAAGACTGCAGGGGGAAAAGTAGGAGGGGCAGAAGGCAAGGGGACTACCCCCCCCCCCCCCCCCTCCCCCCTGCCACTATTTTCCTTGCTGTAGCTGTGGGAGGGAGACGCATTCAAGACAACCCTCCAATACTTAACTTCTATATTTGGAAAATTATAACAAATTTACAAATGTTCCATATACAGTAAAATCCCTGTTATCTACCATTTTACTAACCAGAATACCTCATGAACTAGAA